TGTTATAAATAATTGATTATTAAATTATATATACAAAGGGATTGTTGTCCCCAAGAAATAGATCATCTCATATTTTCTCTTATCCCTGAAACCCCCAAGACCCAACTATACGTTACGACTAAATCTAGCGGATTACATGAAAATATTTTCCAATACTTCATAAAATGACTAAAATCGTAATGAAAACATAAATATATCTCACGTAAATACAAAATACCAAATAACCATTGTCGGAATAATACAAGCATCAATATAGTAATAACCCATACATCAGTAGTAAAATAAAATACGTCATAAAATTAGTGTATCAAAATATGCACATGTCACCAAAATAAGCGTTGTCTAGAAGATGAAAATATTACAATAAAATATACGATACTGAATATGACGATCCTTCAAGTGTCAAGTTTGATGTGTCTAACCAAAAGTACATGAAAAAGGGAAAATTTTGGAGAGTGGGCTAGGGAGCTCAATGTGTTCCATAAGTGCAATATAAAACATATGTGTAAGTTTTAAAACTTATTCAATAACATAGTAGAAAAATGACATTAAGGTTTTCAATAAAATTACCTAACTACCCTCAAACCGTACACCGCTATGCAATTCTCTATAATTGCATCCATAAGGACTTACCCCATAATCATTGGGAATAAGAGTCAATCTAAAGGAGTACCTTGAGCCACAAGAACTTATCCTAGTCGAAGCATTGGAGCCCAATTAAGGGTGTCTCATGTCCATAAAGACTTACCCTATGCACGTGCCATTCTAAGGCAGTGCTTTAGGATCCATAAGATCTTACTATAGGCTCATTAGACCTAAGAGTCTACCTAAGGGTTGTTTAAAGTCTATAAAGAATTATCAACTTGATTGAACTTGAACCTGAAGAGACTCCATATGACATCCTAGAAAGTACTCTAACAAAATAGTTTTGAGATAGTATTAGTAGAATCAGGAAAATATAAATCAGAAATATTTGTTTTTCAGTAAAATCGATAACTAGAGAACATGTATTAAAGAAACACAATTTATAACCAGTAATCATGAATTAGGATTACAATAAGATATATCATTCATAAGTCAAATCAGATAAATCAATCATATTTAAAATCAAATGAAAACAATCATGTGAACATGATATTTCAAACAAGTATTTAAAATAGTTATATAGCACACAAGGAACACCCCTCGCAAAAACGATCAATCTTGGAGGTCTACTAAGCACCGACCTTGCCACGCTCTACAGTAGTTGATGAGTGTTTTATATTGTTAATGTTTCATTGCTAATTACTCCTTGTTATCTCTTTGATATTGCTAATTTAAGTTTTTTACGTTCAATTTTGTGCAGGAACCTATTTTCCAAAAATAGTGTTTAAAGGGAGAGTTCTGCATATTTTTTATTTTTGGAATCAAGGTTGGGCACATGAGCATGAGTTTGGACATGACGATGTCGACATGGCAGAATCTGCAGTCCAGTTAGTGGTAACTTCTAGAAGACGACCCAGTCAGCAGGATTAAGAAGGAAAGGCCAGCGAGCGGAAATTTCTTAGAATTTGAGAGTTGTAATTGAATTTAAACATTTGAGATTTATTATTTAATTAATTAGGATTTTAGTTTGCTATTACTTAGGATTTTAAGATTGCTATTAATTAGGACTTAAGTATTTGAATGTTCTTAGGATCATCTTTAAGTATTTTATTTTCTTTAGGTTTTAAATCCCTTTAGGTATTTTATTTTCTGTAAGTCTTCTCAAGCTATAAATACCCATCAAGGTGAAACTTGACAAATGTACTATTTCTTAGCTTTAATTAGCTTTGGGATTTTATTAAAGATATTTTTCTTATTCATCTCCATTTATTTTCTTTCTTCCACATGCTAAGTATGATTTCTATCATGCTTAGCTAATTTTCCATTAGCTGATAGCCGAGCGACGACTCAATCCATTTCGTGAGAATTGAAAAAGTGCTTTACACCTTCAATTTCTTTCTTATTTTTGGATTAGCAATTGACCTTTCCTTTAAACATCTCGACACCTTCAAACCAAAGAGTGTGCACATTGGCTTGATCGACGTTTTTTGATCTACCGTTGAGGAGAAGAGTCAGCTTGTAGAAAATTCAACTCCCTTAGAACAAACTTAGAAACGATCCGCTAAGGGAAATCAAAATTAGGTTCGATTCTCATCGAGACACCATAATTTGAGTACGAGTTCTTTTACACTAAAGATAACATTGGTGTTAACATCGATAGCCTATGTTAATCCAAATAGGGCTAAATTCCAAAGATTAACTTTGGAAAATTAGTTCGTCAGAGAGAAAAATAGGTTACAAGGATTGGGCCTTGTAGACTACAACGGAAAAGTATTTGAAGTAAAATCTACTTCAGTGGTCGAGATGAATTGAGGAAAAGAAAAGCTGGGGTTATCTCTTATCATAATTATTTTCAATTATTTACCTTTCTTGTTTTTATTATTCTTATTTATTTCAATTTATTCAATTTATTTTATTGAACTTTTTTTTGTTACTGATTTCTTGGCTAAAGATTAACTCAAACTGACATTGAAATTTTTAAGTCTTTGCGGTGGACCATTTATTCTCTATATTACCTTTATAGCTTTTTTATAGAGAAAAAGGCTTATTTATTTGACAATTACATTTATACCCTTTCTTCTCTATACTCTTATTGGAGTATCAATACTCCGATGGTAATATCAATACTACCCCGAGTACTGATACCAAAAATGACTTCGATGTTTAGAGAATTTCCTAAGTATCGATACCCCTATTAGGAGTATCGATACTCTACCCTTGGTATCGATACTCCCATGAGTATCATACCAAAAATGGCTACTGGAATCCTTTATGTGCCCCAAGTATCGATATTACCCTGTGAGTATCGAAATCAGACCAACAGTATCGATACTCCTTGGACGAGTATCAATACTCCCTTCCCAAAACACCCTCATTTTACACTACTCAATGAACAGTGTGGTACTGTTCTTCCAGTACCAACATTGGTGCCAAAAATATCCTTTTTTGGGCACGAAAATGTGGCCTAACTTCACCCATTTGTCTTACTAAGGCTAATAAACGTTATTAAAGTCTTACTTGAGGTTTTAAGGGTTAAAAGGAGTCACGTTTTCACGCTGAAAAACATCAAACATGTATTTACCATGATCTACTCAACATGCTTCACAAACTTAACTAACCAGTTATGCACACCTAATGATCTAAATGTGGTATGGACAAGTTAAAAATGTGTTACCTTGATGCTAGGCTATGGAAGCATCCTCAAATCACCCAAGGACTAGTTTCTCTTTGTCCATTGCCTTAGAGCTTTTTCCTTTCTCTTTAACTAATCAAGAAAAAGCTATATTGGTAGTGTTTTAGTTCTTAGTTTAGACGAACGAATGTGTGTAAGAAAAAACGAGAGAAAGAGAGTGAAGCTTAAAAAAACTATATTGGTAGTGTTTTGTAAACTAGCCACAACTATTTTGTATTTGTGTGTTTTTTGTACTCGTATCATGGTTTGTATCAATAATATCATGTGAGTTATAAAATATATCTGGCGGTCATTCACGCTTCCAACACTTAAGACGCTTATAAAAGTAACTTCGTTAGGAATAACTTTAAATAAAATTATAATAATTAAAAGTACCAAAATTTAAATACTAGAGATTAAAGGACTAAAACTAAAAGAATGAAAAATAAATGACATAAAATAAAAGGGACATAATATAAAGATATTGAAATTAAAGGGCATAAATCGTCAATAAAAAAACTAAATGAATAAATGTAACGAAAGAATAAATATAACTTGTTAAAGAATAAAGTGAAAATGCATAAAATAACTAAAATAAATAAACAACATGATATTGGACGAAAGTGAACAAAAGTAAAATAGCATGAAATTAATATAAATAACAAGAAAAAGAATCGAATTTAGAGCAATAATTCGAAAACAGATAAAATGGAAGCCGAAAGGCCAAAGCAAATGGGATTAAATTGATTTAAATCAGAAATTACAGCTTACAGAGTGATTAGTCCAGCGAGTAAGATGAACAAAATTGAAAACCCGCAGGACGGCTGAAATATTTCTCCCTCTTGCCTTTAAAAGCAATCATGAGTATTTTTTTTTTATTAAGCATCATGTGTATTTTTTTATTTTTTATTTTTTTTAAGAAGCAAACATCGTGCGAAATCGGTCGATATTGGAATATAAGAGCGAGCATTTGCGCGATATCGGTTGAGGTTAATATGAATGAATCTGGACACTAATTTGTCTTCCTTCGGGTTATAGTTTGATGTTGGGTTTATGCTCAACCTTAGGTTGTTCTCATTAATTGTAATATATTTTTTAAAACCGAAGTTTTTAGAATTTTTTCATAATTTTCTTATAATAAAAAATCAATAGCAAGGTTTTAAAAAATAATAATAAAAATCCAAAATATTAGGGTTTTTTTATAGTTTTATGCACTTTTATAAATTTTTTTTTACAATTTTATTAAAAAAACTTTCAAACTGTATAGTTATAAGGTTTGGTTTCAACTCTTTAAAGAATATATGATTTGGTCACCAAGAATGGACTGAGAGGATATGGACGAGAATGATATTTTTTAAAAAAATTAAATTTTTACATGTGCAAATATTTTTTTATATATTTTATATTGAAAATATATTTTCATCTCTAAAATTTATAAGTTTTTCTTTCCTTAAAATTTTATAAATTCATTTTATATAACATAAAATTATACTTTCATCTCAGGCAAATGCAAGGTGCCCACTCTAAAATTTAAATTTGTTTACGTTAGTTGCCATTTATTATTGTTGCCCACCTTGAAATTTTATTTATGTTCACTCATACGAAATTTTTTATTAGTAATATATATATATACTAATCCTCAAAAATATTTTTGTTCAGTCACTTTCGTCCCTGGGCCCACCAACATTCATCCCTGAAAGTTTATAAATTGTTTCTTCACACAATAGTTCGTTCCCTTTTCTCTCCCCTAACAACTTCATCTTTCTCGTTCTCTTCCTTTTCACTCTGTCTCTTTAATAGTGTGTTAGATTAGATGGTGAGATTTTGCAATTTTTTTATCTTATAATCTTGTTAGTAATTCCTTATTCACCTTTGCTTACTATTTGATCCCAGTAACAACAATTCGTTGTTTCTTTCTTTCGTCTATGTTACTACTAGGATTATTCTATGCTAAATTTAGAATAATTGTTGTTTTCTATCGTCTGGTTTTGTCCAATGGTTTTGGAATTGAGTCTCTCAATTATTAAAATTCAAAATAGTCATCCAAGTATTTATATGTTTTAAATTCATCTTTTTCTGTTAAAAAATAACGGTCGTCTGAATTGGGCGTTAATCTATTGGGATATGATAAATTTGATCCCATAACTGTTTAATTTGTATTTTATGATCGGTTCTCTTTTTACATTATGTCGTCAAGTCAATACTTGAAACATTATGTCGCCAAGTCAGTGCTTAAAAAAAACGACGGTGCAAGTATACATGACTAAAATATAATTTTATCATACTCTAGTCAACAAGTTAATGTCCAGCTTAGATGACTGTCAATTTCTCAATGAAAAACAATGAGTTTGGAACATATGAATAATCGAGTGATCATTTTGTAAATTTTAAAAGTCGAAGACTCACCGAAGCAACCTTGATAATCAGCATACATGGTGCTCAAATCCGGACCTCAAGAGATAACAATAATCCCTTACCCACTAAATCACTTTGTTCGTACATAAAATTTGGTAATTAAGAAACCAAAGAACGTTTCGAGTTGAGCCTTGTGAAAGTTTGCTTGCTTTTAACTAATATAACTTTATTTATGCATATATATCTTACTGTTCAATATAGGACATGCTTAAGGCCATAAAAGCTGACTTGGCAAGACTGCGAGAGAAGGATATAGGTATTGGAGAAAGGCTGGTATCTGTGGAAAGTTCACTGAAAGAGCTGAAGAGATTGATTTCAGAGTGTAGGGCAAAGGCGAATTTGGTTGGTGACTTGGTGAACTTCGTCATTCAAGCAGCGATTGAAAATGATCTCAACATTGACGAGGAAACAATGGTCTTGATAGAGGAAACTACAAGGGCCTTAACGGAAGCTTTGAACCAGGTTCAATCTAGCAGTAGCTGCCCTGCTGCTGCCGAAAATGGTGGCGGCCACGATGAAAAATTCAAATAACTAAATCAGGGATTTACATAGCGGATCACAACTGCACTAGAGGCCACTGTTTTATAGTGCTGGTGAATCAGACTGAAACCGTTATTGTTTGAACGCGATATCCACAATTACTATAATAGTATATGTTGTGTATTTGTTGATATTGTGTTGTATTTGGTGGTGTTAATATTTTATATCTTATAATTATGTTGTGTTGTATTAGCTGATGTTAGTATTTTATATCTTATAATTGTGTTATGACAAGGGTTGTCAAATCTAAAGCGCTTGTCTTACGAGGTGGAGTTTGATCAGAATTTTATCTAACTCAAATTAACTAGAAAACATAATAAAATTTGTTTGATTAAAAGTAGGAAGCCTATTCAATTTTATGATAACTGAGAGTAGATCTTTAATTGTATAAGTTTCCTAGTTAATCAAATAATTATTCCTATAATCATGCATATTTATTTAATACATTGTACAAGTATTCAATATATAGCATGCTGAAGACAAATTTTAAACACCATCTCTTTCAAATTGGTTAAGACTCTAGTTTATGGTCACTTCTTTATGATACTCGTTGTTGCTTTATTAAATACTTCATTAGTAGGCTAAGATTCGACTTGATCTATGAGCTGGTACCAAGATCAAGTCCTAGACATGCGGACCTAATTTTAATAGCTGGAACAGGCATAATTTATACACAAATCAACTAAGCATAATTTTAAACATTTCATCAAGACACAAACATCAAATATATTTAATACACGAGACACTTCAAAGTTTACGATGTACAAATTTTAAATTTTCAGCAAAGAACTTTCTAACTATTCCAATCAACTTCTGTTTCCTTTGAACTTTAGAGGAACCTCTTACTTCTTGAACTATCTAAAAATCAAGGGAGATGAAACACTCTAATTACCACATCAAAAAAGTTTAAAAAACGTTTAAAAATATGAAATGGGATGGAAAATGATGAAAAAAATCAACTTCCTAAATCCCTAAAAACCCTATTTTCATTTCAATCACATTATTTTATCTTCTTGAAACTTACCTGATGATGAATCATACTTGTGAAAGATTTAAACAAAAGGAAATCTAATTAAAGATAGCTTACCTATCCTCCAAGATTTCAAACTCACAAGTAAGCATGAATCTTATTCTGGCACCAAGTAAGCATGGCACCACAAGGAGTGCAACCCATTTTTTGTGAGTGGAAAAATTGCACTTTTGGTGCCCCTAATCTTCAGACTTAACAAAAATCCATCTTTTTAACTTCATTTCAATTCAATTTCTCATTCAGTTAAATTCAAACTTAGTTATTGTTGGGATGATCCTTAAGCTTGACTAAAAAACAATTTATGATTTAATGTGATTTTTTAGACTTATCATCATCTTTTGGGTTAGATAGGTTGACTAAAAATTGACAGACATGCAATAAAAAGTCCCCCATAGTGGTTGAGGACAAGGAGTCATACCAATTCTTGGTTCCCCTTCATAGAGTAGTCATGAATACTTTATATTTCAACTCATCGATGGCCCTATAATATTTGTATAGTTCTTATACTGGGACAAGTGCTTAGTGGGGTTTATCTGGTCCCATCGTAGTTCTCCTTGGGTAACTAAAAGTGTAGAGGCTAAGAAGCTGCCAACACATGAGACATTAGAGGAATATGCTTCTTTGTAACCCAATCTCTTTTGAAGTTGTTTGTATCTTGGAGATTATTAACTTGTTGATAACCTCGTAAAAAAAGGTTATATTTTGTGTTTTTTTCACTTAGGTTATTGATTCTCTTAAGGCTCATCTAGATGCATTTAGGATCGTATCATTACATGTGGTGGAGCTTTTATGTTGCATATTTTATTTTGTAAACTAGTGTTGTTTAATTGGGAAGGTTGTGTTTGGTTGTTGATGTGCAATCAATTGAAAGCATAGGAGAGCAAAGAGATTTGTTGTATCATATTGGATTGATGAAGAAATGAAAAAATGCTGTAGCAGTTTGGACGACATTTTTGGACGCAGAAAAGAAAAAATAAGATATTTTTACAAAGGAGCCAACTATCCAGCCCACGTGTCATCCCCTATGTCCATCCCACACATGGTCCCCTCTTGCCAGCTATCGTGTGTGGACCGCAGTTATCATTGCACATCCCTTTACATGAAGAGAATGATACCTTGGGTACAAAGGAATTTTGGCACAAAACCCTAGGTCATTTCACTAGTATAAATAGATAAGGATACCCTAGAATTAAAGGAGTCTTTTTGGGAAAAGGGTGAGGTAGGAAATAGTGAAAGGAGGCTATCAAAGAATCCATTTTTCTTCCCCTTTTATCTTCTTCATGGTGTCCTCCATATCCAAGCTTCAAGGGGATAGCAAGCTAGGCGTTCAAGAGAAGCTAGCTTGCTAAGGTGGTTCACGGTGGCCCAAAGGAGCTCACGACGACATGCGTGTTTGGAGTTTTCTCTATGCTTGTGCTTTCATTTTTATTTCTATTTTGTAGGTTGTAATGGAACAAGCTATTATTTTGGATGATTTGTACCAACCATGAACTAACCTTATTTGGTGTGGGTTAACTATGGATGATTAAGTTTTTTTTAATGAATGGTTGATGTTTTTTATGTTAATATTTGCTTTTATCATTGTATTTATTTTATTTAGGATTGTAAGAACTTATGAGAGTAGCCATTTCTTATGTTTGATGCTTAGTATCGAAAGAGCTAAGTAATATTAACGCGAACAATGAGGCTTAGCTGTGAATTAGGTCTAATCCACTTTAGAGATAAGGAAATAATTTCAACAACTAAAAGGAATAGTACTTAATCGATAGAAATTTACTGGAGTTCACGCTGAGAGGTATTGCCATAGTATTTTTCTCTGTCAGGTTCCTTACTAGAGATAGCCTAGGAACACCTTTAGCAAACTATGTTGAGCAAATAGGTCATAAAAGCTTAAACCATTTCAGAAGACAAGACTTAGGATTCCATAGTGACCCTACCAATCATCCCTATTGTAGCTTGTTTGTGTGAAATTGTTTGCTATCTTACTAAGTTCCCAGATTCTCAATTTATTTTGCTTAAGCATCTTAAATTATTACTTTTTATTTTACCTAAGTAATTTAGATTTGATACGTGCCATATTCCATCACATTTCCATCCATCTTATGCATTCCATTTTGCCACAACATTTCCAATTGTTCATATCATTATACATATATATTTATATTTAGTTAGTGACGCCTTTGTGCTACAGCTTACTTAAATAATCCCTCTAATCCCTGTATACTTGCATCAATTGTATACTTGCACAAAATTGTGTGCTATATTTAATACACCTACACACACACGATCACCTGTCTTTGCATGATTTGTATTTACTTGCTTCATTATTGTTCTCTTGGGTTAACATACTAAATCATACATTTAATGTTTCCCCCCTTTGGTCAGGCTCGGGGGAGAGAGGAACTCTATCATCAAAAGTATTCCGACGAATGGAAGCCTTCTCTGTTGACACCACTCTTTGATATTAAAGGTTATTTATCTTTCCTTAATTCCTTAACGTTGGGAGATCAACAACTCTTGAAGAATTTTTTTGGATTAACTCTTGTGTTAGTTAGTTATGTTGTTACAATGGTAATTGGGCCACTTGGGAGGCTTAGAATTATGGACGTTGACTTCACAGCTTGTTCTGTAAGTGTTGAACTTATAGAATGCGTTTATCGTTAAAGTATGCAAATTATTGGTACTGCTGTTGGGGATAATGTTGGTCGATTTGGTCATTGATACCATGAAAAGTCTTGTAGCATAGTAGTTCGTACATGATTTGTTGGCCAAAAAATTAGGCACAACGGGGGATTTTGGGAAGAAGATGAGAGGTAGGACTGGCTATTTTACTATTGGAGGTTTATCTCAAGTGATTCTTTTTGGTCGTGAGGTAGTCCACCCTCATTGCAGCAATTGTTGATGAGAAAAATATGTGTATGGTGGTTTTTAATGACTAATCCCTACTGGTTTGGACAGAGATTCACCGTTTGTTACTTAGTAGGCTGAAGGAGATGGTGAACAGTAGAGAGGTCGAGAGAGAGATTATAAGCCAAAGAGAGAAAGTCTTATCTCCAATCTTGCATGGTGACTTATATGCATGCCTTGAGTGCTGGTGTCAAGCCTAAGATGAATTGCTAAGTCAATCGAATGGATGAAAATAGCCAAGATGGGGTGAATTGGCAATTAAAAATTTTGGTGGAAGCTTGAGAGAAAAATATAAAATTGAAACAAGAATTTAGAATGGTTTGACTTTATCAACCAAAGTCTACATAAACTACTTTAGCTATCCATAAAAAGGATTTCCACAAATTCCCTAATTTGTATCTACCTTTGATGATATGGTGTAACCTTACAACTCCCTCAAGAATTATACCCCAAATTCTTGAGACACTCTCTCAAATAGAAAATCACAAATTGCAAACTGATAAAATCCTCACTAGGAATGTGTTTGTACAATTCAAGAACAAATAAGAACACTTGAGAAATGAATACAAATAAGTACAAAAAGTGTTCTTTGAAAACAAATGAAATATTGAAGAATGTTGACTTGATTTGGCTCAAATTTATTGTTTTTTACTTTCTCTTTTGTCTCTTGTCTTCACAAATGACTTGGGATCTTGATTTTATGCTCCATCAATTAATTCCAATCGTTTGAGTTGTTTTGGGAGTGAATAGAGCCATTGGAGGTAGTTTCCCGCATTAAATAATGTCCAGAAGCTTGTAGTATCGATACTCCCTGCATTAAATACAAAAATATAACCGTTGGAACCTCTAGTATCGATACTGTTACAAGGGTATCAGTACTACTATATTCAATAGTATCGATAATGTATATAGTATCAGTTCCATTTTAGTATACTGTAATTTTATGAATTCAAAACCAAAAAGTAGTACCGATAACACCACTAAGAGTATCATTACTACTATACTAATTAGTATCGATACCATTTTAATATTCTGTTTTGACACACTTGTATACAATATCGGTACTGCCTTAGCAATATCGATACTACTTCATCATTTTAGGCTTCAACATCGATATTTGTCGAAACCATTAGAAAAAATTATTTCAAAAATATTTCTAGTATATGACTCAATTTTTCAGTATAGT